TTTGGCTATTGGGATGCTGCCATAAATGGGAAGCCTGGGTGCCTCAGTTAACTATCTGCCTTCGGCTCAGGTCATGATCCCAGAGTCCTGGGATGAAGTCCAGCATAAGGCTCCTTGTTCAGGGGGAAGTCTGCTTCTCCCTCTGCTTCCACCTGCCTCTGCTTGTTTTCTCTGACAAATAAATTAAAAAAAAAAAAAAAAAAAAAAAATCTTAGGGCCCCTCAGTGGCTCAAAGCCTCTGCCTTCGGCTCAGGTCAGGATCCTGGGGCCCTGGAATCAAGCCCCACATTGGGCTCTCTGCTTAGCGGGGAGCCTGCTTCCCCTTCTCTCTCTGCCTGCTTGTGATCTCTGTCAAATAAATAAATAAATAAAAATCTTTATTAAAATAAAATCTTAAAAAAAATAATGCTGCTATGAATATTTGTATAGCAACTATTTTATGGTATGTTTTTAATTCTCCTGGGTCTATGCTTAGGAGCAATAACTGAGTCATACTGTAATTCAATGTTTAACTTTTCAAAGAACTACAAAATCTTCCCTAAGTGGGTAAACAATTTCATATTACCAATCCCACTTTGAGGCTTCTAAAATATCCCCATTCTTACAAAACTTATTTCCCATTTTTAAAAATACCCATCTGAGAGAATGTGAAGAGGTTAACTCATTCTGGTTTTGATTTGCATCCCCCAAATGACTAATGAGGATAAGCATCTTTCATGTTCTTATTTTCTTCTTTGGAGAAATGTGTATTCAAGGTTTTTTCCATTTCTAATTGGGTTGCTTTTTTATTACTGAGTTGCAGAGATTCTTTATATGTTCCAGTTCCTAGACACTTAGATATAAGCTTAACAAATATTTCCTTCCACTCTGTTATCACTTCACTTCTTCATAGTATTTTTGGAAATAGAAGTATTTTCAAACATGATAAATACAGATATCTCTGATTGGTTTTAAGTTTTTTATGTATCTCAAGGTAGCAGCCCAACATTGTTCATTCATGTGTGAACATGCGGTTATCCCAACACCATCTGTTGAAGATAGGCTATTCCTCTTTAAACTGTGAAAAGTTCAAGTTGTGAAAACTCAACTGGCTATAAGATGTATGGGTTTATTTCTCAACTCTCAATTCTATTTCACTGGCTTTTATGTCTGCCCTTATGCCATGTTTCATTTGGGTCACCACAGTTTTTTTGTTTACCTAGGAATATCTTAGTTTCACCTTCATTTTTAAAGCTTTAGCTAGATACTTCTTAGTTGAGTATATAGCATATAATATGTAAATGTATTAGACTTATTTCCTTCAACCTGCTGAACAGATCATCTGAATATATCACCTCAATGCCTTTTAAGTCTACATGTTTTAAGAAGAAAAGAGCTCTTACCTCTTTGAGGAAGGAGCATTTGAGAACATGATGAGTCAATTCTGTCTTGCTTTCAAGAATTCTTTGTAAACTTTTGATAATTTAAAGTTCACCAAACTTCTTAGCTTATAATTATAGATTAATATTTTTCATCACATTTCAGAAATTTTCACCTACTACTTCTTGAGATATTCTTCCAATCCATTTCCATTTTTCGTCTCCTTCTTTCCTCTCCTTTTGGGGATTGTCTATGCTAGTATGCATACATACAGGTCTAAGAAGCTACATTAATTTTTCTTCATTCTTTTCTTCCCTTCTTCTCAGAGTGGATTAATATCTCCTGATACACATCCAAGTATGCCAATTCTTTCTTTACCTTTAAAGTTTGAGCCCTCTGGTTAAATCTGCATTTTAGTCTATTTATTTTAGGTCCAGAATTTCTATTTAGTTTTTTTTAAGTTTCTCCTTATTGATATCCTCTGTTTGGTGAGACATCATTTTCATACTTTCTTTTAGTTCTTTACAATGGTTTTCTTTAGCTCTCTGAACAAATTTAAAATAGCTGATTTAAAATCTTTATTAAGTTCACTATCTAGGATTCCTCACGAGTTTCTACTTACTGTACTTTTTCCTGTGTTTCTGTCAGGATTATTGTTTCTTTGCATATCTTACGACTTTTGTCCAAAATTAAGTGTTTTAAGTAATATAATTTGACAATTCTTGATATCAAATTGTCCCTAATAATTTAATGGCTTACCTTCTTTTAGTGCCTGGTAATATCTCCTTTAAAATATTAAAACTGCTTAAATATTTTCTAAATACATTTTAGAGTCCCTATATAAAAAGGCATCAATTCTAGTCTAATAAACAAAAACCTTTCTTAATTTTTATGAAAACAAATTTAAAAAACCTAATCAAGACATTTTTCCTAATCCTTATTCATGTTTCAAAAATATTTTCTTGTGTATACTTACTTTTAGAATTCCAAAATTTTAGTCTGTGTTCTATTAAATTTAAAAAAATTATGAACAAAACAAAACACTTGATACGGAGTTTACAGTGATTTTACATACATATCCAGTTAATTAGCGACAGAATAAGAGAATGCCTTAAACATGTATAAAAAAATACAAGTGCAATATTTTAGCATCCCTTCTATTCCAGTAACTACTAAACCAATATACAAACCATAAATTCTATAGATCCTCAGATTTTGTACATTAGATATTAAAGTTAAGATTTCATTTATTCATTTAATACAAAACTGGTAACTAATTAGAAACTAATACCAGGTAAAATGAGGAAAACACCTAAACTAGATGGCATGATATCCACATGATTTCAACTGTAAAGTTAATAAATATGTTCATTCAATGAATAATTCACATGTAACATGTACAAGGTTTAGTGCAGGATATATCTAAGTGGGTAAGATTCATTAGTTTTGTTCTAAAGACAGACAAAACCAATTTAAAAGAAAGAGTATGATCTAGACTACAAAATGATACATAGCAGATATGCTGTAATAATGAGCATCTGTGTCTAGATACACTATGACACAACAAAAAATGGAATTCTTTCATTGTTAAAAAAGTGAGAACTGCAGAAGGAAGAAACTTGATGAGATGGACTCTAAACACTTTTATGAAAACACTTTATCAGCCATGTAGAGCCCGTAACTCACTGAAATTTCTAAAGAGAAGAGTAGACATCTGTTTAAACTCTTAAGGTGTACATGTTGAATAAAAATATTAAAGGACTGAAAATGTTTGTTTCATGCTATGAAAATCATTAATATTGACAGATAATTACAGCATCTCAGTTTTCTCTATTATGCAAAATACAGATCAGGCTACAATTCCTCTTCACACTAAACCAAAAACCTGTCAATCCTAAATAGTTACCCTCTAACCCTGCCTCCCCCAAACAGGGTTTTAAAATTATAATGTAGCATTTGAGGAAGTATCTTTCCTAGAAGGCAGAAAAAAAGATATCAAGAAAACTGAAATGTCTGGACAAATTTATCTTATAAAAATCTTATATTCTAAATTTGTATTAAAACTAAATCCTAAATTACTTATGATAAATTCTACCCCCATCTCCGCCTCTTTCAAAGTACGAAACCAAAGTATGAACTCAAAGTCAAAAAGTAAATTATTGTTAGCTACTTCAACACTACTTGGAAGAAGGTTTTATACAGAGAATGAATTTACTGGACATTTATTAAAGGAGACTCTTGACATTATCAAGTTAAGCTGGATGTAAAAAAATTATCGTTAATAAATAGCATAAGATCACATATAGGGTAAACAAATACTTACTCTATTCCTAAACTTACCCAATCTCTGTGCTATGCTCAAAGACACAAGGGAAAAAGACTTGTACGTAGTGCTGATAAGAACACACTGAACTCTGTCTATATATGATAAACTTGATTCCAAATACCATAATGATCCCATGAGCAGGTGAATTGGAATAACCAAGTTATTTAAACAAGCAGGTAGATGATGGGTCTATCTAACAAAGTAAAACTTCACTGACGTAGAGAATGTATCTAAAAAAGAAAGATCAGAGACACCTACCCAGAGAATCCACTAAAAGAATTATCAGGACATCTACTATATAACTAAAACTATGTCTAATTATGTGCTAAATGGTAAGAAGGTAAATACTATCTAGAAAGCCAATATCCTGTAAGAGTATAAAACCAATGATATTAAATCTCTGATCATTCTAGAAGTCCACATAAATTAGTGTTTATGGTTATGTATATGACCACTTTATTTCAAGACACTACAGTAACAAAGTTCCAAAGCCAATTATGAATTTGTTTTAAAAAATATTTTCATTATTTTGCAGGCAAAAGAGGAGTGGTATGGAAGAAAATAAGGACAGAAGTCACTGCACAATAAAAGACAAAAGATTTTTTTCAAGCTGAAATCCTTTCTAGGTTTAGTGGTTATTCTGATAAGGTAACACCTAATCACATCATCACATTATTTCTGATTTCTAATAGTTTATTCTTTCCAGCCTCCCTCATCTCTTTTTTATTTTATTTTTTAAAGTAGGCTCTAGGCTGGGATGGAGCCCAATGCAAGGCCTGATCTCACAACCCTGAGATGAAGACTTGAGCTGAGATCACGAGTCAGATGCTTTACCAACTGAGGCACCCAGGTTGCCCTCATATTAGAAATAACACTTTAGGGGCACCTGGGTGGCTCAGTGGGTTGAGTCTCTACCTTTGGCTCAGGTCATGATCCCAGGGTTCTGGGATGGAGCCTCGCATCGGGCTCTCTGCTCAGCAGGGAGCCTGCTTCCCCCCACTCTCTGCCTGCCTCTCTACCTACCTGTGATCTCTCTCTGTCATACAAATAAATAAAAATCTAAAAAAAAAAAAAGTTACAAAAGGAATGGTGATTAAAAAAAAAAAAAAAGGAAATAACTCTTTACTTTTTACCACTTCAGTTTTCTTAATTACGGCTTACCTTAACAAGATCCAAACTAGGACAATAATGCACATAGGCCTGTGACATTTATCTTAATTTAGTTAAGTTTAAGTAAAGAAAATGTCATCCTGATATATGATAAAAGATAGCCCTCAAAAATACCTTTGACAATCACTAGACCCCAAAGACTTACAGGAAATCATAAGGTAGTCCTCACAGTTGCTTTTGTCATCATCTTGTTGGTCCACAGGGATCCCATTGGCATCTATGACTGCTTCAGAGGCACAATCTGCTACCAATACTTCTTCTGAAACGACGTCTGCTGTCAGAGGGTCAGTAATGATTTCTGCTTCTACTACACTATCATGAACCATGTGTTCAACATGTCCAACATCAGACACATGTAAAGAATCACTTGTTAATACATGTTCTGGCACAGACATTGAGGCTGAAGTAATGTCGGAAGCTAAAACATCATCTGGGACCGTGCAGTGTGCTAAAGAAACTTCTTCAGTTACATCTGAGTCAAGCACTTGCTCAGGAATAATGACATTTTCAGATACATCTGCTTCTTCTAAGATATCTGAGCAGTGAACATCCTCAATCACAACATCCTCTATAACATCTTGGATTACAACTGAATCTGGGTCATCAGGAACAAAGTTATGTACAGTTATATCTGAATCCACAACATCTGAAACAAAAACAGTTTCTTGAACTTCCACAACAATCTGATCACCATCCATGTGCGTAGCATCAGTTCCTTCAAAAAACAAAAAATTAAAATGACAAATTTCAGGTAGGCATGCATGACTGTCTTCAATGATATAAATGATATTTAATTTCCACCAGAAAACAGAATATATCCTGTTTTCTCAAACACTGAAATAGATTAAGGAAATAAAAAGGGAATCTATTTTTGATTCATATAACAGATAAAAATTAACACACGAACTGCTTCTACTCAACCCTCTCAATTAACAGATTAAGAAATACTAGGAAACAGAAAATGTGAGGCAGTTGCAGAAGAAAAGTATTTTTTGGACATCAACATTAAAATCTCCAGGAAAATAAAATCCTACGGGATAATTATAAATGTTAAGGAAGTAAGATAAATTCAGAGAACAAACCATTTTCCTTCATATCTGTTCCATTTTACCTTTTTTCTACATTTCTTATATATGTCAGTTTTTCTTCTTTTCAACACTATTACTTACTTCTTTTCATTCCTTCCATTTCTTTCTTTCCCTCTTTAAAATCAACCCACTCTATGCTGGTGTAATGTTCCAAAAGTATCCACCATATATGACTGGATATTTAGAAATTAAATTGTGAATTTAGGCAATCAAAGAATTGGGGCACAAATGAAAACAGAGCTAGGAAGGCTATAGAGGAGGAACAATAACTGATTAAAGACTTCTGTGGATAGATAAAAGTGAAACTGCTCTGGAGCACTGGAGGTGGAGGTTAGTGGAAGTGGGTCATACCAACTTCATAAGAATACTCAGCCCCCATCTATCCTCCTCCCATCACCCACACTCCAATCCAAGGCAGCTTCACCAATTTTAAGAAATCCTATTTCTAGTCCCCTCCACAACTAAAGAATAAAACTATAGGAGTGAAACAATCGCAGCCCAGTGAGATTAAATGACTTCACCAAGATCACACAATTGTTTGCACAGCACATGGTACTCAGTAAATATCACTCTGAATGAATGAGATGAATGGGAACAGAAACAAGATTATTCTTACAAAAATTGTAACATAAAACAAAACAAATCTGGTATCTTGGCTCCTGGTCCATAAAACTAACAAATATGAAGTCTTATCTTAAAAAAAGCTACTCAATTAAGCTATTGGTCCTGGTTGTGACTTAGAAAAGTTGACCTAAAGCAGGTGCCTAACTCAGTGACTGTGTCTCACTGCCTAGGCCATCAGAGAAACACAGATAATTCAACTAACACAAAGGATCAACAAAAGCCAAAGAATGATAAAAGTTGTAAAGTCCTTAGAGTCAGTTAATGCCCACTTGATTACATATAGAAATAATAATAAGATGTTTTCTTTCATTTCTACAGAATTATTATTAAATGCTTTCAATCATCTGTCTTTATGTTTCATATTTAGTAGTTCACATCAAGCAATACATCACTTTAATCTCCATCTTCAAGACATAAATGTAGAACTATTTAAAGGCAAGAGCACTGCTTAAGAAGTGTAAGACAGAGAGAAGCATTTAGAACTTTTTCATTTTGTGACCTTGGGCAAGTCATTTAACCTCTGAGTTTCAGTTTCCTGTCAGTAAAATGAGGACAGTATTATCTGCCATGCATACCTCACAGGACTGTTGGTGATGATCAAATGGGAATATATGGGAAGTGTTCTGAAAAACTGTAATGAGAGGTTTCATTACTATTAGGACATATGAAAAAGGAGGCCCTAGCAGATTAAGTGATTTGCTCAAAGATGAATGAACACCATTAACTGTCAATAATGAGGGCTAAAATGCAAACAGCTCATGACCCAAGACTGCTGTGGCAAGATTAAGCTAATAAATACCTTGAGTTTTTCTCCAAAGAACTTATAAGTCTCTCTGAAGCACATTTTTATACTTCACTATGTTCAAGTGAAGACAGAATTAACTTTGCATGTACCACCATCAAAATGACACTACCAAATATGAGTCAAAATACCACCCGAAACTGTTTAAGAAACACAAATGCATGCACACACATGGCATTTAGAAAGATACTAAAATCCTCATGTTTCTTGGTAGAATCAGTATCTACTGCTTTAATATATGGCAAATATCACATAAAATTCAGTGAGTAAAATTTTAATTACCAAGGGTAGCTATATAACAGTAAATAATTTTATATTATAAAATCTAGTACAATCCTTTTCAATATTAATCTACTTAGAACCTTGGGTAATCTGGTTGCCCATTTTTTCCATTTTACAACTTCATAAATAAAGTTTTCCTTGTGTAGTTGGGAAAACAAACAACATTCTATGTGGCTGATGCAGAAGGCTCCCTGAGAAGCCTCTTGAGAAACAGGGTTGTGAAAGGAGGAAACTGTCAAAATGCAGAGGAGCTTTACAACTTATCTTCTGGACAATAAAAAAAAAGTGAAATGACATGCTCCAGGTGTTACATTAGGATTAGTATGCTACTGGTGTAGTAGATAAAAGAAGAAAACTGGGAGCCTGGAAAATAGTTCTAGTATTACAGGTTTAGAATGAGGTAACAGTGCTTAGGCCCAAGTGGTAGGAAATGCTACGAGCAGTGGTGATAGGTAGATCTCCTTACCCACCCACTCCACCCTATCCACCCTGCAAGATGTCCACACTTCCATCACTGGAACTATGAATATGTCACATTATGGTTTATGCCAGAAGGTTTTTGCAGATATAATTAAAGTCATAAATCTTATACTGAAAATTTGAGTGAGTCCAATCAGATCACACAAACTCTTAAAGCAACACTTTCCCAGGTGGTATCAGAGTTGAAGCAGAATTTTAAGTTTGAGAGATTTAATTCATTGTTGCTGTAGGAACTACATGGAAAGCATGAGAAGGAACAAATCAGTGGCAAGGAGCCAAGACAGCCCCTCAGCTGACCGCTATCAATGAAATGGGGACTTCAGTCCTACAGTTTAAGGAAGTGAATTCAGCTAATCACCTCAATTATTTTAGAAGCAGAATCATAGCCCAAGTCCCAGAAAGGAACAATACCCTGTTCACATCTTTAATATAGCCATATGAAATCCAAAACAGATAGCCATCATAGACTTTTAACCCAAAGAAACTGTGAGACAATTTTATTGATTTAAAATACTAAACTTGTTGAACTTTCAGTGTTGTAACAGAAATAAATCAGGTTTTGGTACCAGAGAATGGACAGCTCCTATACAAATGCCAAAAAATCCAAAGTGACTTTAGAATGGAATACTCCCTTGAATAGACCCCTAGTAGAAATATGGATGTTAACAACTCAAGCTAGTAAGAACTCAGAAGAAATGACCAAAATAGAGAAATCCTACACAAACTCAAAGAACATCAAAGTCACCATGCACAGACTGTTAATAGAAATCCAGACTAAAAACTCTGCTATTAAGGGCTCAAAAAGAAGAAACATGTTAATGGAAGAAACGAGTATCTTAGTTACAGGTTTTGACAGATATACTACCTATATACTATAGGTTTTGACTGTATACTACAGTTATGTGAAAAGTCTAACTTAATGATGAACTCAGTCAAGGAGATTTCAGCAGTGTTGAAGTTGTGGCCTTGTTTCTTCTTGATGCTTATAATAAAAATCAAGAAAAATAAAGTTAAATTGAAACAAAAAAGTAGCAGGACTTGAAACCTGTACAAATTTTTAGCCTGTACAAATGGCAAAAGGGAAAAAAAATTAAAATTTCAGGCAAGAAAATTCTAGAACAAAAGCATGCTATGTATGGCTCTATGACTCTTCCCTGAAGATCAGTAGGTCTGAAAATGCACTCATTTAATGTCTCTTTTAAGTCATTCAAAGTGTGCCTCACAGATACCTTCAATCAAACTACAGTACTTAGCCTAAGGGGCTTAAGAGCACCATGCCTCACCCATCTCCAAGAAGAAATGCTTTATCTCTAAAAGATATATAGATGAGAGTCTTGTCTAATGAAGTAAATTCTCACGACCCAGGAGATACACAAAATTCTTTAAAAAATTTTTACCATCAGAAACAATGCTATCCTGATTTGAGAGTATTGACTGAAAGGGATAGAGAAAGTATCTCATTAGAAACAGCTGGACTTCCAAATTCTAGGCGCAGAGCAAGTTAATAAAACTACAGACCCATTTATCTTCCGTTTCAACCTGTTGTAACCAGAATATTCAAAACTGCACTACCACTCGCAATGGGAAGAGATCCCTTCTCTGGCTTTGTAAATCTACGAGGAAGAAGAATTATGCTCCAGAACTTGTACTTAATGGACTACACCCAGAATGTTATGGGTCCCTAATTTAGATGCTATGAGACTTCTAAGTTGCTTCATTTCTCTTCTTTTTGGCAAATATTAAATATTTAGTATGTGAATGTTAAAAACATACTACTATACAAGCAATGGGCCAAATAAGTAGCAAATCAAAATATGTCTTAAAACAAAAGGAAAAGAGGAGCGCTTGGGTGGCTCAGTCATTAAGCATGTGCCTTCAGCTCAGGTCATGATCCCAGGGTCCTGGGATCGTGTCCCACATTGGACTCTCTACTCCATAAGAAGCCTGCTTCTCCCTCTCCCATTCCCCTGCCTGTGTTCCCTCTCTCACTGCCAATAAATAAACAAAAACAAAAACAAAAAACAAAAAACAAAAAAAAAAAAGGAAAAGAAAACACAATATTCTATAACCTATGGGATGCAGCTGGGCTGCTTAATTTTAGATGAGAATTTTGGATATTAAGTGAAAACCTCAAAAGAGTGAGTTTTACCATGGGAGGAACATAAATGTTTGGGGGCAGAATGTAGACAGTGGTAGGCAGAATGGTCTCCCAAAGATGTCCAAACCCTAATCTCTGGATTTTTTCTTAAAAGACATTATTTATTTATTTGACAGAGAGAGAGATCACAAGTAGGCAGAGAGGCGGGGGGGGGGGGGGGTAGCAGGCTCCCTGCTGAGTGAGAGCCCGATACGGGGCTCGATCCCAGGACCCTGAGATCATGACCTGAGCCAAAGACAGAGGCTTAACCCACTGAGCCACCAAAGCACCCCCTAATTTCTGGACCTTGAAATATATTATCTGACATAGTTAAAAAGTCTTGGACATCTAATTAAAGTTATGGATATAAGAGCAGATAAAATGTAGATTACTCTGGATAAGCTTCTGGCTAGAGTCAGATGTGTTGTGAATGGGAATGTCGGAAAGATTTAAACATGACAGAGACTCAACTCTCCGTTGCTAGAGGAAATGACACGTAAAACAAGAAAGGGAATGTGGGCAGCCTCAAGAAACAAAAAGTGGTCCTGGCTAACAGTCCATAAGAAGAAAAACACAGGGAACTAAGTCTGGCCAAAGTTTGAATGTTTACGAAAGAACTAAGAGGATTTAGTAGTATAACTGGGGAAAATGAGAACAACAAGACAACAGTAATTTTTTTGATACTGATGCAGTTACTGACAAGATTATGAGCTGCCTATGGGATTTTGAAAGGATAACAAGATACCTAAGTATGAATCAGTGTAAGATCTAGCAATTCATCCTCTTGATAACCAAACTCCAAATCTGGCAGATGGGAAGTGGAATAACCCAATAATTATCTATAGATATACCTATTCCATCAAAAAAGGAGTTTGGTTCTTGTGGTTGCAATTCAAGTTCATCTTCATCCATGGCCTTTGATTCTCATTAGTCACAGCTCCTAAGCCAGGAAATATAAAGTATACCAAATATTAATTATATTAGGTCACATACTTAAAATGTCATCATGATCTTTACATTTCTGAAATGCTCGAATTTCTTAATTTACCAAAAACTTATCAATGTAAAATAAAGGGGAACATACTGATTTCCAGTGATGTATGTGCAGTTCTATCATTTAATGTATGAAAGTGCACTTAAACAGGTTGACAGTGTTTGGGGATTTTTGTTTGTTTAATTACAGTATAAGTTATATAAAGTGAACAAATCTTAATTGTTCTGCTTAATAATTTACATATATAAATATGTATACAAATAAATGTCTATTTAAAATTATATTAGCATTTTTCAGACTGAGATACAGAACACTGCTCATACCCCAGATGACTCCCTCTTACCTCCTCTCTACCAGCAATCCAACGACTCTTTGAGGTTCACCTTAACATATATTGTTTAGGGGGAATTTCAGCAAGATTTTATTGTACTTTTAAATTTAATGTAGTCTGTAATCTTTCTACCAGTAAATTACAAAATGGTAAAAATGCAAAATCTGTAACAATTCTTGATACTCTTTGGAGATTTCTGTGTAGCTTACAATGACCTATCTTAACTGACCTTCTGACTGCAGAAATAACTCTCACAGTATATTTAGATTCTCCAGGCCACAGGTGAATTGGTACCAGCTACAAAAGGTAAAAAATAAATTTATCTTTGAACAAAGTAAAATGAAAGTACCATCTATATGATACCTAAAACTATAAGCAGGACTTGTGTGCACATGCTGTTTCCCTCTTACTCCTTTTCTCTCTTTCCCTCCTCCCTGTTCTCCCTTTTTCTTTCCCTCTCTGTTTCAAACTACAGTAAATAAAGAAGAGTTGAGCATCATATACCGAATTTGCCTTAGGGCAGGCAGGAGAAACAACCAGTTTACAAAAAAAAAAAAAAAAAGTTAAAATACAACAAATAAATACAGGGGTGCCTGGATGGCACAGTGGGTTAAGCATCTGCCTTTGGCTCAGGTCATGAGCTTCCCATCAGGGCTCCCTCCTCAGTGGGAAACCTGCTTCTCCCTCTCTCACTCCCCCCTGCTTGGGTTCCCTCTCTTGCTGTGTCTCTGTCAAATAAATAAATAAAATCTTAAAAAAAAAAAAAAAAACCCACAAAAAAACAAAAAAACAAATATATGCCAAATCAAGTGAGCAAGTAAGTACATAGAAGGAACAAAAAGGAAGACATCAGGGACCATGATTTACTTATGTTAGGAGTATTAGCTAAGCTTCCTAATAGGTTTTCTTTTTTTTTTTTAAGATTTTATTTATTTATTCGACAGAGAGAGAGATCACAAGTAGGGAGAGAGGCAGGCAGAGAGAGAGAGAGAGAAGAGGGGAAGCAGGCTTCCTGCTGAGCAGAGAGCCCGAAGTGGGGCTGGATCCCAGGACTCTGGGATCATGACCTGAGCCGAAGGCAGAGGCTTAACCCACTGAGCCACCCAGGCGCCCCCATAATAGGTTTTCTTAACTCCACTTTCTCACTTTATAACTCACCTTCAAAAGGGCTATTAGTTTATAATCTTTGTAACTTTTTTTTTTTTTAGATTTTATTTATTTATTTGATAGAGAGAGATTACAAGCAGGCAGAGAGAGAGGAGGAAGCAGGCTCGCCGCTGAGCAGAGAGCCCGATGCGGGGCTCGATCCCAGGACCCTGAGATCATGACCCGAGCCGAAGGCAGCGGCCCAACCCACTGAGCCACCCAGGCGCCCCAATCTTTATAACTTTTGCTAATGACACACAAAATGTACATCTGTTAAAATTTCAAGTAATGCAGTGTACTGACAGTGACTTTTTATTTTCTGTATTCTTGCTTTGTCATTTGAGGCTTTGATCTGGAAGAGACACAGCTATTTCTAGGGCTTGTTAAATCCTAGAGACAGCAAATGTTTCCCCATAAGTGCACCATCACAATACTAATCAACCAATCAGAGCCACATGCTCAAACACCAACTTTACATACCAAGTCAATATTCCTCCTACCATAAAATAATATTGGAAATTATTTAAACTATCCAATCTTAAATTTAGCATATCTACCATACCTTGCCTTATTCCTTCCTAATAAAGGTCCCTGGGCCATGCTTCTCCCCTCTCCTCCTGCCTAATGATAGTCCTTCCCTTTTGCTCCTTCACCGTGTGACATTCCTCACTCTTTCTCTTCTCATGGTTGTGAGTATAAGCCTTTTAAAAAAAAAAAATTTTTTTTATTTATTTATTAGAGAAAGAGAGCACACACAAAAGTGGGGTAATAGGCAGAGGGAGAAGTAGGCTCCCCACTGAGCAGGGAGACCAATGTGGGGTTCGAGACACTGCTTTTACCAACTCAGCCACGCAGATGCCCCATAAACCTCTTTCTTCAAGACAATCACTTTCATATCTGATACTCTACTGTATCTAATTAAAACAAAATGGGTACGTTTTAACACATGTAAAAATGAATTTTCTATAAGTCAATCAGAAAGACAGTTATCATATGATATCTCTGATATGAGAAATTTGAGAGGCAGGGGAAGGGGTTGGGGGAGTAGTGAGGGAAAAAATGAAACAAGATGAGATAGGCAGGGAGACAAACCGCAAGATACTCTTTATCTCAGGCAACAAACTGAGGGCTGCTGAGGGAGTAGGGGCGAGGGAAAGGGTGGCTGGGTTATGGACATTGGGAGGGTTTGTACGATGGTGAGTGCTCTGATTGGTGTAAGACTAATGATTGACAGACCTGAACCCCTGAAGCAAACAATACATTATTTGTTAATTTTTCAAAAAGCCTTTAAAAAAAAAAGTGATTTCATTTTGGCTCATACCAAAAAAAAAAAAAAAAAAAAGAAGAAGAAGAAGAAGAATTTTCTAAAGCATAATTTAAATGTTGTCAGGCCTATATTGATAAATGTTTTAACAGCTTCCTATTCATTCCAAATAAAATTCAAGCTCCTTAGTTGACAGTTCTCTAAAATCTGGTCCTAACTACTCTTGGCATTATCCTCATATTTTCCCTTTAGTCATCTTCACCTCCTCTCCACCACCACCCCAAATCTATTTCTGTCTCTTTCTTCATTCACCCAAACATATACCTAACATAGATTTGGGTCTCCATAAGACCTAAACTCTTTACTTGGTTTTGGTTTTCTTCTACCTGATTTAAGTTTATAATTTCCAAATATGTCATCTCTCAGACCTACCCAATTCATTTCAAGAAATACTACTGTTTGCGGTGCCTGGGTGGTTCAGTGGGTTAAGCCTCTGCCTTTGACTCAGGTCATGATCTCTGGGTCCTAGAATCGAGCCCCTTATCAGGCTCTCTGCTCAACAGGGAGCCTGCTTCTCCCTCTCCCTCTGCCTGCCTCTCTGCCTACTTGTGATCTCTCTCTCTGTCAAATAAATAATCTTAAAAAAAAAAAAAAAGAAATAGTATGTTTTATGGTATTTATTCAAAATACCTCAAATAAGAAGGCCATTAAGATTACATTAGTAAATATTTTTAACCACAAAAAAATGGAAAATATTATTGGTCTAAATAAGTTGTCACTTTTCTCTCCCCAAACTCTCTGGCTTTTTACTTCTTTTCCCATATTCAAAAAATACCATTATGAAAGGACAAACTTTAATAATTCTATAAACAAAATTAAGTAAAATGACATGAAATTATACCAGTTAAGGATGGAATAAAAATGATTTAGTACTTTAAGTATCTTCAAGTTTCCCTAGAATCAACCTCATTAGCTCAGTAAAATTCAAACTGGATTGTCATGCTGTAATAAGATTTTTCTACTGTCCTTGCCCTCAAAAACACCAAGAGATGAGAGTAGAGTCTAAGAGTCCAGTGGAAAAGTTAGAGCAATCCCGTAGGGGAAAAAAAAGAAAATGGAGACTGAATGAAATGGGACGAGTAAGAGGAATAGTTTCACTTCACTCAAATCACCCCTCCTCTAAGGCAGCACAACTCAGCAAGAAGAAAGCCCTGCCAGGCCTGTGTCTCCTCCTTCGGGAGAAAATAAAAGCCTGTGAGTGCCTGGATTCCCTAGCTGTGCTGGACACCACCAGAGGCCCATTTCTCTTATCCTATCCAGACTACTGAGCTGTGCTTCATGACTGGGAGCAAAAAGCATGTTACTAAGAACAGGCGGGCTCTTGGAAGGAGGGTACAAATGGGATGCAATCTGCTAACTGCTCCACAATTCCATCAGGGAACTTACCCACAAAATGCTGGAGACACCTTGCCTGTGGATTCTACCAACTAGCCCAAGGACACCCCCAAGTCTATGTGGCTTACCTGCATACGCCCCCATCCCATGGCTACCTGTGTGTGTACTGCTCTAAGAGCAGGCTTGACTAGTAACACTGGGAGAAACCAAACAAACTTGAGGATTCAGCACCTCCTTTCCTAGGAAAAGCAAACCTGAGACCATCAGTACCCAGCCTCACTTTGCAGGACTGAGAGAAGCACAAAATTAAGATTTCTGTGGGGGGGGGGGGAAGGCAGTAATAATTATGGAGCAGGCATATCCACTGAAAAGAAATGAAAACAGCGGGAATTCCTAACAGGGCTAAAGAAGGTACTTCTCTACCAAGGCCACCAAGAAGTAAAGACTAGAGATGACATTCTTCAAATGTGAAGACAACAATACAAGACTTCAAGGAATATGAAAAATCAAGGATACAGAACCCCATCAAGGGAACACAATAATTTTCTATCAACTCCAAAGTCATAAAGATCTGCAATTTATCATAAAGTAATTAAAACAGTTATTTTAAGAAAATTCAGTAAGCTACAAGAAAACACGAAGTTGGGGTGTCTGGGTGGCTCAGTGGGTTAAAGCCTCTGCCTTCGGCTCTTGTCACGATCTCAGGGTCCTGGGACCCGCCTGCATAGGGCTCTCTGCTCAGCCAGGAACCTGCTTCTCCCTACCCCCACTCCCTGCCTGCCTCTCTGCCTATTTGTGATCTGTCAAATAAATAAATAAAATCTTAAAAAAAAAAAAAAGAATGAAAGAAAGAAAGAAAACACAAAGTCAACAAAATCAGAAAAATAATACATGCGAGTGCCTGAGTGGCTCAGTTGGTTGAGCGACTGCCTTTAGTTCAGGTCATGATCCTGTAGTCCTGGGAATGAATCCCCCAGAAGGCTCCCTGCTCAGCAGGGGGTCTGCTTCTTCTCTGACCTCCCCCTCTCATTCTCACTCGCTCTCAAATAAATAAATAAAATATTAAAAAGAAAAATAATACATGAACAAAATGAGAAGTTTAAAAGAAAGGAATCATAAAAAAGAACTATATATACTGGAGCTGAAGAATACAGCTGACCCTTGAATAATAGGGTTTAAACTATACAGGTCCACTAATATGCAAATTTTTTTACAGTACTGTATTTTCTCTTATGAATTTCTTAACAACATCTTTCTTCTGTAGTTTACTATAAGAATCCAGTATGTAACACATATAACCTACAAAATATGTTAACTGACTCTATTATTGGTAAGGTTTCTGGTCAATAGTAGGCTATCAGCAGCTGACTTTTTTGAGGAGACAGAAGTTATACACAGATTCTGACAGTACCCACAACCTCCCAGTTGTTCCAGGGTCAACTGTACAATGAATGAAATGAAAAATAACATAGGAAGCATTAAGAACAAACTG